TCACCACTTTCAGCCAAGCGGAGCAACTCTTTAGCTCTTTTGAGTCTATTTTCTTTCTGTTGCGGTGTAAGTTCTTGCACTTTTTGGAATTTCAATGGCCTTACACCGAGCTCATTTTCCAATATTTGCCGAATGGAATATAGCGACATGTTCAGCGCACGAGCCATTTTTCGGCCACTGCGACGCCGGTTTCGATCAAGTCGCTTCTTTACTCTTCGAAAAATTTCTCCTGATGTTGCTGTTTTCTTCCGTCCACTTCCTAGGTCATAATGTGTTCTGTTGGTCATAATGGGTTGTGTGTATAGGCCTAAGATTTTTTTATAGTCCACATATAACGGTACCATATTTTTATACCGATTTGTCTAAAATTTGGTATTTGAAGTTCATAATGGATTCTAGTTCCAGTAGCAAAAAATTGAATATTCCTATGGCGCACATATAATGATACCCACCGATATTCGATATTTTGATAATCCTAGTAACATTTACCCACGAAATTTTTTCAAATTTGGTATTTAAGAAGATTTGGTAGACGACAATCCTTGAAATATAAAATTGTCTATAGAGGTTCGCGTTTTGGCATGGCCACCATATAACGGGCTCACTCAGCATTATCCAAATGGTCTCACTGGTATTTGTAGTCTAAAGTGGAACAAATTTGAATTCAGATACTTTAATATAAAAATATTTTCTTTACCTAATGGTGGAGGGTATTAAAACTTCGGCCCGGCCGAACTTAATTTTTTTTTTTCGCTTGTTACGTAGTGATGAGATTTTTGCTAGCTTTTCATTTTTATGCGTTTCACTGTATTTCTATGCACCATTACTTTTTTCAAGTAATTTCATCAATTTCATTCAAATAAATTTTACTGGAATTTAAATTATTGCCAAAATAAAGAACACTACCGGCTCATAAAATAAAGAAATTACATTTTTATTGGGGCACATTAGCAATTTCAGGAGAATTATGGCGGTAGTCCGACACATGTTTATCATTTATTTGCAACCGCAGCATCGGTGGGAAGAAGATTCTATCATTGAAATCCAGCAGCAAATATATTTGTGTGCGTGGTGGTATTTTGAATTTAAAGAACTTTGTATGATGATACAAATTTCCGTTATATATCTGATCAACAAGATGACCCATCGGCCCACTCAAGAGAATTGAAGTGATTTTGTTGTTTGTATTTGGCAAGTTTGTGTTTGTGGAGCACTTTATACGGCAAACATAACACTTCATTTCATCTCTCTTTAGGTTATCGAGAAAACTCAACAGAAAAGTAGGCGCATTTTTTTTGTTAGAGGTAAGGCAATTCTAAGTGAAGAAGTCATTGTTTGTTTTGGTTAAAAAGTTGGTAGTTAAATTTCGGTTTCAGCATTAGAAGAAGATTGAAGATAGATGATTTTAAATTTTGAACTCAGCAATGTATTTGAAAATTATGGACCCCTCTTTCTTTCTAAAAATAGGATAAAACTAAAATTTGTTTTGTTAAAATTTTGATCAATTAATTTGATACCAATGACCAAGTAAACGAGTTAAAAAGTATCAGTCGGTTTTGGCGATAGAAGTATACCCTCAGCTTTGAGTTATGATTATATACAGGGTGAGATGAAAACACTTCAACCAACTTTAGACTGCTGTCATTTCTAAGCCACTCGTCCGACAGCTGTTAAAATTATGCCAGTGTCATATCAATATATTTTTTACAATCGTACAAAAGCATTTTGGTGGGAATTTTCCAGAAATAAGGTTATTCGTGATGGAATTCAAGCGTGATAGTGTGATTTCTTTATATTTGACTGGAAAACCACAAGTGGCTATCGTTAGAGCACTCCAGCATTTAAATGTGAATAAATCTTTTGTGTCTTGTACCATCGCTCGTTACCGTGATACTGGTAGCGTAGCCCGACGCCATGGAAGTGGACGGAAAAAAACAGCAACATCAGTAGAAACGGTTCGAAAAGTAAGAAGCGACTTGATCGAAACCCGCGTCACGGTGACCGAAAAATGGCTCGTGAGCTGCACATCCTGCTATATTCCATTCGGCAAATATTGAAAAATCGGGGTAAAGCCATTGAAATTCCAAAGAGTGCAAGAACTTACACCGCAACAGAAAGAAAATAGACTCAAAATAGATAATGAGTTGCTTTGCTTGGCCGAAAGAGGTGAACTGCCGAATTTAGTTTTCTCCGTCTCCGATGAGAAAACATTAGTTGTCCAGCAGTTTATAAATAAACAAAATTATCGTGTTTATTTGCCAAAGAGGTCAGCTGAAAATGTGCACCTTCGGCTGGCCACCAGAACTCAAGCGCCGGCCATGGTTATGGTGTGAGCCGCCATAACAGTCGATCTCTGCTCGTATTAATCGACCGTGGCATATGAATAAATGCCGAATAATATCGCGAAAATTATCTGGAGGGTGTATTAAAGCCTTGGGCACGCAAACAGCAAGAATGATTACAAAATGAGGTTCCTCGTTTCATTTCCAGCGCAGAATGGCCACCACAATCTCCGGATACCAATCTTTGTGGGGGATGTACCATAAGAAATAATCCGATCTCTACCATCTTTATAACAGCCCTTGTGTGGATAGAAATATTGAGATTTGCAAAGCCTGAATGGAATCGGATTTTAGTTTCGCGTTTTAGGAATTTTGACCCTTTGTGGTGGAGGTACTTTATGGAGTGGACCGATATTGTACATTTTCGCACCTGACCTAGAACTGTAGCAAATATTAGAATTTGACAAGTTGGAGAAAAATCGGATCATCCTCTCACTTTTTGTGCAGTAAAATATTTTCTATAAAATTTCAATTTTCATTTCAAATTTCAAAATTGTGGGGGAGGTACCAGAGGGAGTGGACCGATATTGCCAATCTCCGAACTCGATCTAAGTTTGATAATAATATTACGATGTACCAAGTTTGGACCAAATCGGATACTCCTTCATGCGCACCAGCCAGACGGACGGACATCGCTAAATCGACTCTAATTGTCCTGAAATGGATTTGGTCCAAAGAGACCTAGGGCCTAAAACCGTTATTTCGATAAGGTACGTTTTGGCCGTATCAAATGATACTCGAAAATATTTCTAATTTTTTGCAACAACAAAATACTACGGTATTCCGAACAAACATGCCAGAACTTTTCAATTTCCATATTTATTTTATTTATTTATTTTTTTATTTTGATCAAATTCTTCTTGAACACATTTCGAGTTGATGTGTGAAATTAACATATAATTTTGTTTTAGTAAAGTATTACTTAGTGAAATGTAAACACAAAATTTTTACTAAGTAGTACTTTTTCAAATTTCATAGTGAGTTTTTAGGCACATACAATTTCTTTACTTGGAAAGATAAAAGTGAATTATCTTTTATTTTTAGGCTTACTGTAATGCAGAGGGTATATAGTTATCATTATTATTATTATAGTTATCATTACTATTATTTTCTTTTAATTCCCTTTAATAATTTATAAAAATATTATGGGGTAGTGATAATCCAATGTTGACACTTCCTTTCCAGAGCTTATAAATCATTTCTCATATTTTTGAATTTTAGTTGCCCAGTGTTGGGGGTTTCATCAAATCCAATGGTAATCTTATCATCAAAAGCGGCTATGTTGTGCTTAATCAAGTGCCGCGTAGTAAAAATTAATTGGTATCAAGTATTTCTTAGCTGGGCTACAATAGTGCTATCAATAAATTTTTTAAAGAGCAAAACAGAAATATAACCGAAGCAAACCTAAAAAAACCTAAGACGTTAAGGTGACACACTTCTTATCAACAATAAAAAGACAACCATAGTGCTGGAATCATCCATCCGTCTGTATTATTTATCGACTGGGGTTTCTCGCCAATTGACTTTTATTATATTTAATAAGCCGATTGCTAATCAGATTTTGGAATTTTTCATTTACGTCTTTGGTGTTGTTCTCCTCATTTAATTAAGTCGACAACTAGTCGACCATAAACTATAAATAATATTATTAAATTACCTTTATCAGTATTTGACGTTGGGATTTAATATACATTTTTTTGGTCAATTCTATCATTATTATTTTTTTTCAATAAGTCATTATCGCGAATTCAAATCATTTGTTCTTCCAAGTATATGAATTAAAGGTCAATGATTATGAATGCAGTAAAGTCAAATAATGTCAGTTTTTGGTGCAAAATTGCAATTAATTCATGTATTTGAATTCATGAATTTTGTTGAAATGTACAGGGTGAGGTGATAAAACTGCAACAAAGTCAGATGCCATAATTTTTACTTTTCTTTTTTTTAATTTTTATTGAATGAAAGCAAAAAATGTCAGAAATAGCATTAAATTTTAGAATAAGTTTAGATTTGTTCGAATTGGTCACCTTTGGTACGAATTATGGCCTTCAAATGGCCAATGAAACCGTCACACGCTGCCCGAATGTTACTCTGGCATATTTGGACCATTCCCAGCGAAGCGCTTGGTTGATATGATCGACACTTTGGTATTTTTTAGTGCCAACCTTGCTTTCCAAAATACTCCAGGCACAATATTCCAACGGATTGGTATCCGGAGATTTTGGTGACCATTGTGCGCTGGAAATGATGCGAGGACCTCATTTTGTAACCATTGTTGGGCGTGCTGAATGCGATGTTGGAATGTGCAAGGTCTGCGGCCAAAATGTTTGCTTTAATACACCCTCCTGATGCCACGGTCGATTAATACGAGCGGAGAGCAACCATATGCAACCATGTGTCGGGCCACACTACCACCATGCGGCGCTTGAGTTCTGGTGGACAACCGAAGGACACAATCATTTTGTTTGTTTACAAACTGCGGGACAACGAATGTTTTCTCATCGGGAAAAACCAAATTCGGCAGTTCACCACTTTCGGCCAAGGGAAGCAACTTATTAGCTCTATTGAGTCTATTTTCTTTCTGTTCGGTGTAAGTTCTTGCACTTTTTGGAATTTTAATAGCTTTAAAAGTTTTGACTCCAATTTGTAACCAGGGGGTCAATTCTGGTTCTATGAAAACGTAAAATGAAAAGTTTTTTCACCGTTTCATACAAATACTGATTCGAGTTCTATGAAAACATAAAAACATATGTTTTAATGTTTTCATATGAAAGGAACGATAGAAAGTGAAACTAGTGTTTTCACATTTTCACAAAGTAAGCTATTCCGATTCTATGCAATCATGAAAATTGAATCAAAAAAGTTTTCAGTTGAAAAATATTTTTTCATACAAATTTTCTTTATGAAAATGGAAAAATCGGTCCGTGGTAAAAGAGCCTCAGAAGAACAAAAGGAATTTTTAATAAATTTCCTTGAGGAAAACGTCGATTTGGCGAATGACAAGTAAGACAATTTAAAATTTTACAAAAAAATCATGTTTCTTTACAAAATAAAAATATACGTATATTGAAGATTTTGTACTGTTGATGGTGCAAAATATAGAGAAGAAAAATGGAAGGAATTGGCGGAATGCTTGAATGCTATTGGAGGGACTATGAAGGATGGTGCCAAGTGGAGAAAATATTGGAGTGATTTGAGGTATGACTTATTTTAATTGTAGAATATTAAAAATAGTAGTAAGATTTTTTGGAAGAATGTTATAAGTATTATTATTTGTAGAGGAGCAAAATTGGGAAAATGGATCTAATGATCCGGAGAATGGAAATGGAATCGCTCGATATGATTTTACGTATTTTAATACCAACCAATGTTTGTCATTGTACATGCGTTTATCTATGCAATTTTTTCCATTGGTATAGGCAACATACACGCTCCAAATACCTTTTGATGAAAAGAGACGAACAAAAAAGTGGAATTAATGGACCAAAAAAAATCAAGCAACTATCTGAAGTAGAACAGAGGATTATAAATATTACCAAAATAGAAGCGGTTGATGGGGATAAAACTCAGGAGATGGGGTTCCTATGTAGTCCCGGAGTACATGTGGAAAATAACTCATCAGATATTTGCTATCAGGAAGATATGGTGGAGATACTTGATGACCAAATTGTAGAGTTGGATGAAGATCTTGAAACTGGAGAAAATTCCACATTTACAATTAAATTGGGAGGAAAAAGACCAAGGAAAGAAAAACGGAAGGTTGCTTTATATCCTGATGAATCACAATTTGAAATATTGTTTAAAATAGAAGAAGAGAAAGTGGAAGCTATGAGAAAGTCTAATACTCTAAAGGAAAGGGAGATTGAAGCTATAAAGGAGCAAACAGAAGCGATTAAGGCTGATACACAAGCAAAAGTGGAATTTTTAAAAAAAATACATGAAGTCATTCAAGTTCTACCTTGTAATAATAATGGCTACTGACATAATAATAAATAAATTCTAGCCATTACTAAAAATGATGTCGATTATTCTTAAACTGTTTTGGAAACGAGCTTGACACAAATCAGCAAGGTGTGGATAAAAGTTGTCTGTCCGTGGAAATCACCCTAGCGTCCAAACGAATTGAAGTAGATTGATACAATTTTATTCAAATGTGTGTTTGGTCTGCAGGACTTTTGATATTGAATATTTGTTATGTAGGCCCACGTATAGGTAAAGCCCACACTTCGTTATAGGTACAGACAGAATTTTAGATCCAAGTCTTCGTATAGTATTTTTAAGATTTTAAAAAATTTTGTAACGGATTTTGCCTTTTTATTTAGTTTTTTGTTTTTTTTTTTAGAATTTTTAAATTCTTTCCAAATGGTGGACGGTATTCAACTGCTTTTTCACTTGTTTTTCAATGATTGTTTTGATTTTTCAATCTATTCTTATCTATTGAGCAAATACGTTTTCAACTATCTCGGAACGTTGCCTTTTTGCAATACTTGATATATTTCGGCATGAAATATCCGCAGTTGCATTTGTTTGTTCCCCATTGTCATTCATTTCCTCTGATATTATTTCCGGATGCGGTATCTTTTTCCGAACTAAAAAATTATGCAGGACCAAACAGGCGTTTATTATCAGACCTGCTTTTGGTGGACTATAGTAAAGTGTCCTTTCTTTTGATAAGCATCGAAATCTTGATTTTAGTATACCAATACATCTTTCTACTAAAGCTCGTGTCGATTTGTGCGCGATGTTATAGCGCTCTTCGGATGTATTGCACGTTGAAAGTATAGGAGTCATCAACCACGGCTATTTGGTAAATTAAACGAATACACTTTATTATCTCTACACATAATACGTTCGTATATTTTACCTGCAATGGGTAACCACTATCTCCTAAAAGCCAATAATTACGTTCTCCTCCAGTATATAAATCTTCCAGTCTTCTGCAAGCTTGGGAACTTCTCCAAACATAAGAATCATGTGCTGTACCACCAAATCGTGCGTTAGCTGCCAAAATAATATAATTTGAATCGCATATAATCATCACATTCTTTGAATGTCCTCCTTTTCGACAGTAATATATATGCTCAATTTCACGCCTTGGAGCAGATATTTTAATATGAGTGCCGTCAATTACTCCTATAATCCCTGGAAATTGATATTTCTCCATAAACTTTATTTTAAGTCCTGGGAAATCTTCTTGTTTGGGAAATATTATATAATTGTGTGAAATATTGTTCAAAGCTTTAGCAACCATAGTTACACATCTGCTTACGGATGTTTGAGATAAAGCGGATAAATTATCTTGTCCTACACTTCGTTGAAAGCTACCAGTAGCAAAAAAACGTAATGAACTTAGTACTATTAGATGGCATGGAATTGCATGGACTCTTCTTGATTTCGGCAAAAATGGCTTCAATTCTTCGATGAGTTCCAAACACAAATGCTTCGGCATCCTATACAACTCAAAAAAGCTCTCCTCTGTGGCTATTTCAAATGGATTGTGGTGATCCCGAAGACTGCGTCTAAGAATTCGAAGCGAGTTCCTAAACAATTTTATATTTATTTCATGTTAACTTTTTAGATAATTGTACTAACCTTTGTTCTATTCTATGTCTTTGCGATATATAATATAATATAATGGAACTTGACATTTTTTAGCGTATATTGTTTAATTTTACGACAATATTATTTTTTTCCTGTTAACATATGAACGTCAACTTTACAATTATTTCAATAACATAGTTACAAAAGTTTCATTGCGACACGGAATTGAAACATTGTTTTCACAAAATGAATCAGAATCGGAAAATATGTTTTTATGAAAACGAATTATGAAAAGTTGTTATGAAAACGAAATTCAAAATAATTTTTTCATTTCATATTTTCATAGAACCAGAATTGACCCCCAGATCTGAAATTACGGGCTCTCTGTGGTGAGTTGTTGTCCTACTTTTACAAATATTTTTTCTAGGTCTACTTTTTGGTATAGCTCCCATATAAGGACACCCCCGATTTCATTTATTTTTAAGTATTCGGCTCCAACTTCGAACCAAATCAGCTGTAATTTGATACTTTGGGTTCCTTCTAGATGGATTAAATGGTATCTAAAATATGTAAAGTATATATATCCCTCCTTTTCATGGAACTTACAAATGTTAGGGATTTTAAGGATAGCGGATTTTGTAATTTTGCTTAAGAGTTTTCACATGGTGTAGGGTATAAAAATTTCGACCCGAACTAAACGTTTTTTATATTTTTATTTTTAATTTATTGTTTTATTCTATCGCAGTTTTTCACCACAAAACATGGTAAAGGTCACCAGATAATCATAATGCAATTCACAACTGACAAGGTTTACAAGACACAATAATAACAATTTTCACAACATATCAGATGGTATAAAAATAGTTGTTCAGAGATGGTTATAGTTTTATTATTTATTTTTTTGTAGAATTTTTGCAAAAAAAAATATTAAATATATCTTTTTACACTGAAGCAAAAAACTTCAATTCACGAATTTGCTTAAAATTTGGTATTCGATAAATCATACCACCTTAATTAAACTGATATGGTTTATTTATTTTTATTTTATGTCCTTATTTTAAGAACTCGAATATTTTTTTAATTTCCCTAGAAAAATAATGCACAATACAATATTTTTTACCATCCCTGTCTGTTTCTATAGTTATTTCATTAGTTTTCACATTAAACCAACAACAAACATACATAATTAAGACGCATTTTCTTGATAGTGCCAATTAATGGTTACAATGAACTTTTTGATCTTTAGTCAGTGTAATTATATACAACATGCAGTAGATTATAATTATTTTGTACAACAACAACAAATACAAAATAAAAACAAACTACAACAATAAGTTATTGCATGATGAGATTATATTTCCATTTGCATAAGTCAGGTATCGAGTTATTTAAAAAAGAAAATAGTCAGACAGTATTGAATTTGATTCTTTTGAAATCTGAAACCATGTATGGATGACATAAACTAAATGCCGCAATAATAGAATGAGAATGCAATATCAGAAAAGGTGTGTTCTTCAAAGATACTACAATGTCTCAATTTATTTCAAAATGTAACATAATAGCGAAAAATTTACAATTAAAAAAGCTGTAATTTCGGCCGGGCTGAACTTTGAATACCCTCCACGATTTGAACGAATATGGCAACTCTCGAAAACAATAAAATCCGTTAAAAATTCTGTTAAAATCTTAAAAACATCAAATGTAGCTGTTATATTTGGGTCTATACGACAACATGGAACTACACAGGTAACTTTTGTCATAAGCCATTGCAATATTCAAATGCGAAAAAAATAGTGAATAATATTGCTAAAATCATCAAAATACCGAATATTGGGAGGTACCGTTATATGGAGGCTATACCAAAACGTGGACCTGCACAGACAATTTTCTGTCTTAGGCTGTGGTATCCATTACGAACTTCAAATACCAAATTTGAAACAATTCCGGGGAATAATGTCGCTAAAATCATCAAAATACCGAATATCGGAAGGTACCGTTATATGGGGGCTATGCGAAGACGTGGACCTGAACAGACAATTTTCTGTCTTACGCTGTGGTATCCATTGCGAACTTCAAATACCAGTGAATAATGTCGCTAAAATCATCAAAATACCGAATATCGGGAGATATACGAAGACGTGGACCTGCACATACAATTTTCTGTCTGAGGCTGTAGTATCCATTACGAACTTCAAATACCAAATTTGAAACAATTCCCCTGAATAATGTCGCTAAAATCATCAAAATACCGAATATCGGGAGGTACCGTTATATGGGGGCTATACGAAAACGTGGACCTGTACACACAATTTTCTGTCTTAGGCTGTAGTATCCATTACGAACTTCAAATACCACATTTGAAACAATTCCGGTCAATAATGTCGCTAAAATCATCAAAATACCGAATATCGGGAGGTACTGTTATATGGGGGCTATACGAAAACGTGGACCTGCACACACAATTTTCTGTCTTATGCTGTAGTATCCATTACGAACTTCAAATACCAAATTTGAAACAATTCCAGTGAATAATATCGCTAAAATCATCAAAATACCGAATATCGGGAGGCATCGTTATATGGGGGCTATACGGAGACGTGGACCTGTCTTAGGCTTTAGTATCCATTTCGAACTTCAAATACCAAATTTGAAACAATTCCGGTGAAAAATGTCGCTAAAATCATCAAAATACCGAATATCGGGAGGTAACGGTTATATGGGGGCTATCCAAAACGTAGACCTATATGGCCCATTTTCAATACCAAAGCTAGAGTGATTTCCACAGACGGTGTTACAAACGGAATGACAAACTTAATATACCCATACTCCATACTATGGTGGAGGGTATAACAAATGGTAATTTCCCCAACAGGGAACAAATAAGTTAACCTCGCCTATCATACTCCACTTTTCTTTTATAAACAAAATATGTGTTAGGGGTAATGGACGCATATTTAGAAAAATTTATGGAGAACGGTAAAAGGTCCAGAATTTCGCTGCCCATTTGGTGCGCCAACCCTACAATCTTTCCTCATTTTAATGCTGAAATATAAATCGAAACTAATTAAATTTATGTTGTATCTATAGTCTCTTAAGCATATAAAATGCTAACAACTCACTCGCAAACTGACACGTGACAGAAATAGAGAAGTACATAGCTACATCAAATCTCGGAGTAATTTATAAAATTCACAGAATATTCCAAATGTAATTGTATACAAATTTTCCTTTCTCTTTTTTTTTTTTTTTTTGTAAACATTGCCAATCGATTTCGAATTCACTTTAATTTATTGTTTATTTAAACAATCTTTTTTGGTTTGGCCACAGTGTAGGTCATTTTAATAGACAGCATATAGAATATTTCAAATCTAGCGCGCCAGCCAATTGAAGATCAGTAACCGATTGTTTATGCTATGAAATAGAGCAGCACAGTAGCCAACAAAAAGTCAATGGCAGCGAAAATAGAACACGCTATTCTGTATTATGGGAATTAATTAACACCTTCTGCCTAATTTCCATGTGTCCCACATACAGCTGCATAGATGAAATTTCCGCATAGTTCTGTGGTCCAGTGTAAAACCAAAAAAATGAAGGTTAAAATAAACAAAACACAAAATACGGGAAAGTTCCCTTTCTCTCTGCCTCTCTTTGATTATTTTGCTCTCTCGTTGATTATAAATGGGCATGTTTCCCTAAACAAAATCAAACCTTAAAATAAAAACAAGAAACCTAACATATGCGACGGGATTTTATGGCTTGCCCGGTTTTCTCATGGATGTGTGAGTGTGTCG